TAACATAAGAATCACCTTATATTCAGAATTTCTTTGCATTAAGAGATAATCTTTACTTGTGTTCAAAATGTAAATGCAAGTCACAGTAAAACCAGACCAGGCCTGTAAGAAACAATCAGATGCGTTCACTATCACTAAGCCTCAGGTTCCCCTCTCTAGCACTTTGGACTCTAAGGACAAGATTTCCAGGGCAACCTTACTCAAAGCTTTATCCACTATTACTAAGCCTGAAGTTCCCCCTCTCTTCTCCTCCAGCCTCTAAGGCTAAGGCTACCAAGACAACCTTAACTGAAGGTTCTACTGGCCCATAGCCATCCCTGCCTGATTTTATTCAAGTTCCTCAAGGACAGTATCCCTCACAGGAGGTGAGTGCAGAATTTAGCCCTGCCTGTGTCCATGTGTCCTCTTCTCTCAGTGACCTCAAACAGATCAAACAAGATCTGGGGAAGTTTTCAGACAATCCTGACATCTGACATCTTTAGGGGACTTACTCAGACCTATGAAGGAGGCTGGAAAGATGTTATCTTACTCTTAAATCAAACATCTTCTAGTAAGAGACAAGCAGCACTGCAAGCTGCTATTACATTTGGAGATAAGTATCACATTGTTAACTTTAGACCACCAGAGGACAGGGAGCCGGGAAAGTGCCAGTTCCTGCTGAAGCCCAAGCAATCCCTACAGAAAATCCCTACTGGCCACCAACCAGAGGGGAAATTAGAATGGGAGACATCTTCAGATATCTATTCCTGAAGGTCTAAGAAGGACAAGAACTAAGCCCTTTTATTATTTTACACTGTCGACTCTTCACCAGGAGAAAGACAGAACCACTCGACTGCCTTCTTAGATCATTACCAAAGGCATTGATAAAGCATACACTCCTGGCCCCTGATTCAATAGGACAGGCTGTTCTTAAAGACAAGCTTATTACCCAGTGAGCCTCGATATCAGGAAAAAACTACAAAAGATGGCTTTAGCTCTAGACAGCTCACTTGATACTTTAATGAGAACTGCCTCCTCAGACTGGGAGGAGGCCAACGGGACAAAACAAAGAGAGCCAGAGAAAGTGGCTGTCTTGGTGGTAGCCTAAAAAGGAACAGAGCTTAAATCTGATTCTCGACTAAACTCACCTGACACCACTGTGGAAAGTCAGGCCACCTTAGGAGGGACTGTGATAAAAACCATCACGACAAGAGGCCCCAGAGACACTGCCTTTGTGTAAAGGTAACCCCTGGAAGTCAGACTGCCCCCTGAGACTGAGGTCCCAGGAATCAAGCCCTTCTTACCAGGTGGCCCAGCAAGACTGAAGGGTCCCGGGGGACTCTGCCAGCTCCCTCTTGCTGGACTGTCATCTCCATGGAGCAGCCCCAGGCAATCATACTTTAAAGGAAAACAAACAAGCCTATTGCTAGACTGGCACATGCCTCTCAGTCCTTCTTTTCAGTGCTGGCCTTCCCTCCAGCCATCAATTCCAGCAAGAGGAATCACCGGAGGAGAGGTAACTCACTATTTCCCATAGCCCTGAAGCTCTAACTGCATGGTTTTCTCTCCTCCCATTCTTTTCTGATTATGCCTGAAAGTCCAGTTCTCCTCCTGGGGAGAGATAGCCTATCCTGTTTGGATACTGTAATATACATGCACCCAGATCACATACACTGCCTCCCTACATGGAGATAGAAATAAATCCTAAAGTATGAAAAACTGACAATAGAATAGGAAGAGCAGTAAGAGCTGCCCTGATGCAAATACATCTCAAAGATCCTACCATTGTTCCTCACTGGACACAATACCCTCCAAGGCCTGAAGTTAAGAACTATTGCTTATAAAGAACAATTTAAGGACACAAGGCTTACTTACATGCTGTAACAGCTCTTGCACAAACCTAGTGGAAAGTGGAGGTTAGTACAGAACCTTAGATTGGTAAATGAGGCAGTGCCAGTCCACCGGGTGGTATCTAACTTGTACACTCTCCTTCCTCTGATCTCAGAAGATGCCAGTTGGTTTTCACTGCTGGATTTAAAAGATGTCTTCTTTTGTATTCCTTTATATCCCAGTTTCTTTTTTGCCTTTGAAAATCCTCATGACCAGACCTCTCAACTGATTTGGATTACATTTTCTCAAGAGCTCAAAGACAATCCTAATCTTTTTGGACAAGTGCTTTCCCACAATTTGGCATCTTTTGAACTTTCCCAAGTCACGATCTTGCAATATGTTAATGATATGTGGCCCCTCAGAAGAGCTCTCGAGCCAAGGCAGCCATGCTCTGCTGAATTTTCTAGAAGATAGAAGTTTTAAGATCTCTAGGTCTAAAGCACAATTTTGCAGCCTTGACATAAAATACTTGGGCCTCATCATATCTAAGAGAATGTGAAGGCTGGAGGAAGAGAGAATTAATGCAGTGCTTTCCTTCCCGTACTCCTAGACCCTAAAATAGCTAAGGAGATTACGAGGAATCATAGCTTTTGTCACCTTTGGATAGTGGGATATGTTGAGATTGCATAACTCCTTTATCAGCTTATAAAGGAAGCCCAAAAGGCAGATAGTTATATTTTAACCTAGGAACTTGATTCCCAAACTGCATTCCAGCAGTTTAAACAAGTGCTTTTAAATGTCCCAGCACTGAGTCTACTGACAGGATACCATTTTTATCTGTATGTTGATGAAAGGTGAGGCATGGCTTTGGGAATGCTTACCCAGGATTGAAAACCTGCCCACAATCCTCTAGAGTATCTGAATCATGGATTAGACATCCTAACAGCAGCACAAGGGGGTACTTGTGCAACTGTAGTGTGCACATTCCTGATCCTTCTGCTAATATCTTGATGGCTGTTCAAGATATTAAAAGACAGGTTAGTGTCATGTCAGATTCTGAAATTCCCTGAACTTTCTCCTTACCTTCTTTGTGGGAGGATATTACTGGGTCTTCCTGGTGGAAACAGTTGTTGTTGTATTCACAATAGTCTTATTGAAATTATTTGGCCCATTCATACTTAACTTTCCCCCTGGCCTTGTGCCCTCCAGACTTAAAGCTATATGCATACCAAAGACAAGAACATCTGGATCTCCTGAGGCCTTTAGATAGCCCCTCTGTGGAGGACCTCCGATTGCTGATCACAGCTACGACCCCCTTCAGCCAGAAGTAGCCAGACTGGTCATTGCCCTTGCCTCTTATGGGTACCTTAGAGGTACCTCTTCAGCGGGGTGGGAGAGACATTATAGATAATCAAACTAGGTAAAAATATTGTAGAGGGAGTCAGCGCAAAGACTGAGAACACATTACAACTGTAGCTGGAGGCAAATCTGTTGAAGGCCTCATGATTTTGCTCTATAAAACTTTCTCTGAGAAACAGGCTCACGGATGACACACATTCAGGTTCCCTCTTATTTCTGAGGAGCTTGTTCTCAATAACTTTCCCCTACTTTTAACCTTTGTTCTTCCTTAGAATTCATTCTTCGATTTTGGGGAACATGCACTCAGTGTATGTGACATCTAGCCGGCTGGGAGTTAACATTATGTTCCCTGTAACACTGTCTCCTTCGGGTTCCTTGTGCTGGCCACCATCAGTCCCACACCCAGCAACCCGGCAATGTCCACACAAGGTATGCATGCTTCACTCTGTCTTCTCACCACCTCTTCCCCTAGGAGAAGACCTCAGCCAACCTCCCCCATGCTGCCACCTCCCTCCCCCATGCTGCCACCTCCCTCCCCCATGCTGCCACCTCCCTCCCCCATGCTGCCACCTCCCGCTGTATCACCACAACATCCTGCCACAGGAAAGTGGAAGGGCACTGGCAGCCTCTCCCATCAGCTATGGGCATCAACTCCCCACTCAGATGGAGGAAGGTGCCCTCAGGCTCCTAGGGGCTCAGCCCATAAAAAGCGCACGCTGGAAACACATCCCAATTCCTCCTGTGTGTAACATGTAGCAAAATGAAGTGGTTCACAAAAGCCTACGTTTGAACCTGGATGCTGTAAAATCTGCCTTCCTCATAGGCTCGCAGACGGTGAACAGCACAGTCAGCATTTCGGGCCCCAGACAAGGAGCTCTTTGTCCCTCTGCTCCGTTACTTCATCACTGACACAGATCTTCAACGCCAAGCAAATGTCACTCATCTCTCTTCCTCTTCATGTCCTGAGACCCCGAGATTATCATTTCCTGAGGCTGACATGCTGTGGACTATCATCTCAAGGATGATTTTGACACAGGAACCGGAGCCATTGTTTCCTTATGAGGAAGGCTGGGTACGGCAAATGCAAGCCAGGATGGGGAGATGGGGCCCTCATTTCCGAGGCTAACTCTTCAGGAACAAATCCCTCCCTGCCACGAAGACAGATCCTCAAAAACTGGGGGATGCCCAGGCCGGGTCCTGTCTGCACTGAGGCAAAACAGTACGTGCTTTTGTTACTGAAACTCACGTCTTGTTTTGATTAGAAACCCAAAGGCCATTAGTGATTGAAATGAAGCCCACCCCCTCTCTCCTGTTTCCCCAGAGTGAAGCCAGAAAGTAGATAGACACATTCCTGGGGGAAATATTTATGGAATGACAAGAAGTTCACTATGGAATCCCTGAAGAGTAATAAGGGTCATCCTTCTTGAACTTGTGGGGAAAAGTGCTTAATTCACAGTCATTTTGGTTATGAGTGAAAAAAAACCAAGATCCCAAATTAATTGCCTGAGAAGGGCAAATCAGTTGTTCAGTGAGCCCAGGGCCCAGTGTGAACAGAGCTCTCCTCAGAACCATCTTAAGCAACTAGGAGGTCAGTTCATGCAGCATGGGTACCAGGAAAAGCAAGAGCACCTGTGGCGTGCTTTCGGGTTCACCAGCAACAAGGCTGGGTGCTGGGTACTGGGGAGGAACATCAAGGCCCTTCCACAAGCAGTGGGTGCACATTCCGCTAGGCCTGCTGGGAGGACTTCTGCCACGCCTTAAACAAAACAAACCGAAGAGGGAAAAAAGAGCCAGGGTTACTGACTTCTTTACGGAAAGTGAAATAAACTTACCTTGAAAATTTACTGGGCCCTTCACCATCTTCATCATCGAAGTCCATTCTGAAAAGTCAAGGTCACAGGTGAGCAGGTAAGGCGGAGGCAAAACACTGGGAACAAGGGAGCTCTATCCCATCAGACTTCTGGCCAATGCACCCAACTTTCTGGCAGTGCTAAAGGCAGTAACTACCCAGTCATCACTCAGCTTCGAGACAGGGAAGGTCTTCAGTGTGAGTGCCGGCAGTCTCCTGTTTCTGGATACTTCGGTACCCACCACCTTTCAGACACCTTTCAATGCATTCCTGAGGCTGCATGTTGGAGAGGTGAACGCTCTTTCTCCTCCCATCTCTGGGGAAACCTGCTCCCCTCCACATCGTTTATTCCACATTGACACTTCCTTATCTTTTATTTTGAACCATGCCTTACAGACTAACAAGGCTTAAGGATTCAGGGTAATGAAGACATAACAAGGAAAAGTAAACATTCTACTGGTGGGCTGCTGCTGCTGGAAACTTGGCGGGTCTTGAGTCTCAGTGAAAAGGACATTTAAGGACTGTCCTATAAAGTCCAGGGGAACACAGCTGGCGCTACCTAAGTGGGTCGTCTGCTTGCTAAAGCTCAGTAAATGATCACTCAGCTTTCCACTTTCCTGGGTCTCTCAGTATAAACATTAAACAAGGTCTCAATGGAGGCTTGTTTAACTAACAACTCAAACTCTGCTTCTCAAAAGCACTAAGCCTCTCTAATATCATCCCATATTAGCACTGCAGGTGCCAGGCCGGAGGGCAGACTTCATTAGCCTCAAATGTGCCAAGAGTCTTTGAGGGAAGAAAATGAGAAATGACAGTTTCTTTGGTTCTCCTGGACATCCAGGGTGTGGGGATTCCTGATGGACTGTGGGGGACCAATCCAAAGGAATCCAAGCAGAAAGCAGTCTGCCCTCCCTGACTGAAAAACACTGGTCTGAGCAGATGAAAGGAAAGGAAAGTCCACAATTGAGTCAGCACTGGTATCAGTGAGCCTAATATCGCAGGCAAGAGGCCAGAACTTGAGGGACTAAAAGTGACATGGAAAAGGCACAGTCACCAAGGCCACCAGGACATGGCAGGTGGCAGAGGTGGACCCATGTGCATAAGCACCCTCCTAGGCGCCCAGGAGACAAACCACATGCCCCAGGCTCTGGGGTAACGTAGGGGACCTCGGGCCTGGGACCAGATGAGGCAAAGGGATATTAAAAAAATAATAATACCTATTGCTTGTCTATGTTTTGTCAAATGTGCAGTGCAGCCAGAGTTCTAACTTGGCATGAGTCTGTTCGGCACCAACTGAAGGGACCCTGACAGTTTGGACCCACGGTTCCAAAACACAGGTGCAGTCTTTTTTTTAAATATGGACTGCTTCACAACTTTACATGTCATCCTTACTCAGGGGCCACGCTGATCTTCTCTGTATCTTTCCACTTTTAGTATATGTGCTGCCAAAGTGAGCATCATGTCTTAACGGCTAAGAATAACAAAAGGAGTCAGAGAGTTGGAGAGATGGCTGCAATGATAACAGAAATAGCTCTTTACAAAGGAAGGGCAGCGGGCAGGAAAGGGAGAGGGAAGGGCAAGAATAGGCAAAACCACCTCCACCACTAGACATACAGCCGCCGCGAAGCCTGAAGCCAAGCCCAGGCACTGGCCACAGAGTTGTCTGTGTTGCGGACAAGGGGGAGAAGAGTGCGTCAATTTTTAAACGAAGCAAATCCATGAATATTTTGCATGATTACCAAGCCCTCACCTGGCCTTCCTGGAAGTTACATCTGGGAGGTAACCACCAAAACACTGTAACCAAATCCCTGGGCATTCTGCCACGCCGCGGAGTCACACTGCCACCCCGTGTTCATAGAGGGGAAGAGCAGTTCTGCTGCCCACATCAAAAACACCACAGTGTTAAAAAGCAGCAGTGCTGTCAAAACTCCAAAGAGCTCATGCAAGGGTTTAACAAGACTTCCGATGGGCCTGAGGTACACAGTTATCTTTAAAATTCCTTTCGGCTGAAATTTATATCAAGCGTGATCATCAGGCGTCCGTAATCCTCCCTCGTTGGCTACACATCCTTGGTATGTTTAGAGTGACAGACTGTTCCTGTTTTCTGGGAATTGAAGCCATCCTGGAATCCAGGGCATCCGTGTTAAAACTGAGAGACCCAGGCAAACCCAGGACGGTTGATTGCCCCACTTTAGCAGAGACACACAGGGAAACATGCTGTGTGTAGGGTTCCCAGCTTGGCCAGGTCAGGACAGAGGAAAATGACGGTTCTGGTCTGGACAACTTGGGGAAGTCAGGTTCACCAAGAGCCTGAGAACTAGGATTTGTCTGTGAAAAATTAGAAACCAGAATCTGTGCTATCCATGTACACGTAACCCCATGTGTACAGATCAGATTTGGTACATGGAAAAGCACAACCGAGCTGAGAGATAAATCGGTACCCACGTGATTGTCAAATCCACAGGACAGATCACTCCAACTCAAAATAGCCTCATCAGCTCATCTGCAACACAGCAAAAAAGGCAGCCAGGTACAGGGGTGCAGATCTGCAATCCTAGGAAGCTGAGGCAGGAGGATTGTTAAGTTTGAGCGGAGGCTGGGAAATGTAGTGACTGAGACCCTGCCTAAAAAGAAAAACATAAAAGGTCCAAGGATATAGCTCAGTGTAAAGGCTGTAAGATCAATTCCCTGTAAGAGATGCTGCAGAGGGGTAGGAGGTACAAATCCAAGGACACAAAGTATCTCTTAGTGCAGCACTTGCTAAGATCCACCTGTGGGTCTGTCAGTGTGCTCAGCTCTGTTTTAAATATGCCTACAGTAATCTGTACTTATTTCTTGTGCTATAAAAAGCCTAAGTAAATTGTTCTTTGCTTTACATCTTTTATGTGTCTCTACTATACTAAAGTATCTGGATAATAAAAGAGAAATGAAAACATGACTCCCAGCCCTACTGTATTCACATTAAAGGACTCAGGGCAGTGGGTGAGCTACAGCAGAGCATTTGCTAGGTGAATGGGAACCTGGATCTCCTGTTCTGTCAAGATCTGCTGGCAGCTCATGACGGACAGGATGGGCATCTCTGAGCATACCATTAGTCACATGTGAGGGATGCCAATCTCCTAAAGCAGTTGTACAACAGTAGCAGTGCCATGTCCATCAAAGATGAGCCATCAGGCCAGGTCCCCTCCGGCATTAAAGAGAAAAGGTAAAAAGCCATGCCCCTTAGATGGGTCCAGCCACCATGGCCAGGCCCAAAGTTCCTGTCAACAAAACCACAAGACCAGGGTGTAGAAAGCGCTCTCTCCAGAGCCTGGGCACAAATGCCAACCTAGTGACATCTGCTTATGTAAAGCTCTTACCGCAGTAGGTGGACCTGGTCTGTAGCCACACATAGTCTGTCCTTCAGTGGCAACACATGAGACAACTCAGGGCTCCAGCACTGCAGAAGCAACTGGTATAGCCCTGCCCTCAACCTCACCCTCCATTCCCTACAGGGGCGCCTGACTACTGCTCCCCTGGACCTTAGAGGCATGGAGCTGCCCTGCTGGTCACCCCTCCCTGGGCCAGGGAGGTGACCACGAGAGTGCACCTCAGTGACTTGCTACAGCCCACTTCACCTCACAAGGAGTCACAGTGGGAAAAATCTGAGCCCTTGGAAGCCTGCCATGTGTCCCAGCCATTAGGAGAGGCTGTGGCTCACTAGGACACTTCCAAGGCAAGCCATCAGGGTGCACAAAGGACCTTGGCTCTGGGCCCCAGACAGCCAGGGGGATCCAAAGCCCTCAAGGGTCTGTTCTATCTGGCTTTGAAACACTACTGCAGGATGGGCTCTTTGTTCTGAAAACTTGAGCCATCCCTGTACCAGACAACTAGGCCAGATGGCAGAGGCCCAGCAAGGAGCTCAGCAGGAGCTCCACTCCTTGCATCTCCCCAAGTATGCCCCACAATCTTGGGGAGAAGACGAGGTTGATGTCCACATGCTGATGAGCAATACAGCAGTGAAACAGGCCCCGCCGCGGGGTTATCTGCTTTGTGATGACCGTGGCCCCTACTGGGATCTTCTGCTCCCTGAGCTAAATGTTTGGGACGTAACTGAGATTGTTATCAAAGGGCTCCACCAGAGTAGTGGTGAACCTGATCACAGAAATCTAGCAACACATACGAAAATGTCAGAGGCAAGAATTACTATGAAAACAGCTCTGCAAAAGCAGCTGTCCCTGGATGAAGCCCTAAATTACGCAGGTTTGCAAATGGAGCCTTGATCGGCTTGCTCCTCCATCTGCTGAGAGAGGGCGGGACCTCCAGTGAGGACCTGGAGGGGTAGGACCTGCATCCTAGGGAAGGTCAAGGTCAGAGGCACTAAGTGGGTCCTCCTTGCGGGTGCTGGGACAGCAGGCACTGCCAACCCCCTCTGACTCTCAGTTCTTCTGCTGTCTTGCCTCTTTGCTGCGAGTGGATCAGAACTATGCTCTGCCTCGGCCCCTCCCTGCCAGCCTTGTACACAGGGTGTCCCACAGAGGGACCTGCAAGTCGAGAATGCACAACACTTAATTTTATAAGACCTGAAATCCTAAAACCTTATGTACTGATACTGTACCACACATTCTTTTAATAACCCAGAGTGTGCTGAGCTTGGCACTTAGCAAGAATAGCCGGTTAAAATAGGTAATGTGCTTCGCAGTGAGCCCCAGAGGCCTGCCGCGCCCTGTATTTCAGCTCTTCCCCAGGTGCCAGCACTGCCCATGTCAGCTCTGCTGGCCCCACTGTGGGGAGGTGACATCGAGGATGGAGGACAGCTGCAGTCACCCAAGTGAGTGCACTAGGCCAGGTTCCACAACCCTTTGAACTCTCTCAGTGACTATGAACCCTCAAAGGTGGTAATACCCACATGGGTTATTTATCACCTACAGCTGAAATTCGGGGAGGCTTTTTTATCCCGCCCTCCCTCTGCCCTAAGCCCTCTGCCTACCTTGCACTGCCTCTGTCCCTTTAGGAATCACACTGGTTTAAGAATCTCTGAGCTGAAAATGCTGGGCTACTCCAAAGCAGGCAGAGGGGGAAACAGGTGGTGAAGCAGCTTCCTGTGCCCGTGGGCCCATGTCACCACCGCAGGGCTCGGGTTGTGAGGTGCATTCGGCCGTACCTGGGCAGCTACAGCTCTAGGAGCCATGTGTTATCAGATATCACATTAAAGGAGCAAACTGATTCAACTATTCAAGAAACCATGTTTCTCAAATATGTCATTAAAAATAAAATGGACTCAGTGGGGAACCAGGCTGGGGTACACCGAGCCTGAAAATTCCAGTTCTGCTTTTGCTATAGGAATCTGGCATTCATTTTGGTTTTAATTCTCTGTACACAGACCAACGTTATCCAGCAACAGACGTGGCTTTCCATTCCAAGTGCCCAAGAACGGCGGTCTTCCTGGCCCCATAAGAACCAGGACACTCGACATGCGGCACTTGTCAGCTGCTAGGGGAGCTGAATTGCATCTGCGACAGCCAGGCCTCCAGTGCTTCAGCCCCCTCTGTGAAAAGTTGGGCAGCCCTCAGAAAGCGAGGGGCCCAAGCCTTTCCAGCCTAAGGCTGGAACTCAGCTACCCAGCGGCAGGGCCAGAGTGCCCAGGGTTAGGAATGAGTCCCTCCCCTCAGAGACAGAGCACATTTTCAACACAAAAACAAGTAAACGCAAGTTCCAGCTGGGTGCCAATGCCCCAACACTTAGAAGCAAATCGTGTCTATTTAGGAATCTTGCAAAATCTAAACAGAATACAAACTGCTGAGTCTTTAAACTGCAGGAGAGAGGAAAACAATATTTTCCTAACAGGTCAAGAGCGTTGCTCAACACTGACTAAGTCTAATTCCTGGAAACTCAGATGCTGCTTACCCGGAACGCCGCTTTCCTCCTCGGGCAGGCATGGCCCCGGCCATCCTCACCTGTCCAGAGGCTGCCATGGGGGCGACAGGCAATGTCACTGAGCCAGGTATGTCGGAAGCCATTTCTGGAAGTCAGCAAAGACAAGAGATTTTGTCAATGCCAGAAAAACCCAGCAACAGGCAAGAAAGTTGTACTCTGTGGAGGGGAGCCCAATGGCAGGGTGCCACAGCAATTCGGCCATCACCCGGCACAGGGCTCAGCTAAGTCCTTCCTCCCTCTCTGGGTACCTTTTTCTCCTCTGGAAAGGACCCCTCCTGGCTTGACTCCCAATCCTGGTATTCGAGTCAGTAGTTAAAAGGAACCAGTGCAGCATGAAGCTTCCCTCAGGGATTCACCTGGAAGCAGGTAAGATGACTGGGAACCCAGGCAGCATGGAGAGCCCTTGAGGGAGCTACCATGGGTACCAACCCCTGGTCCACAACTGTGCCGCTGCCTGGGCTCACAGCTCCGCAGCAGCACAGCCAATGCCCTGTCTTGCCCCAACACTGTGCTCAGGGAGGAAGTCGGTCCTACCCAAGTCTGGACTCAGGAGCCCTGCCTGGGGCCCCATGCACGACCACCGTGGCCAGGTCTGAGGCTCTGAAGGCACCAGGCCAGACCACAAGGTGAGCCAGGGACCATGCGGGACCCAGGTCCCTGGCTCTCCCTAGCCCAGTAAATATTAGAGAAGAAGGTGGCACGGAGGAGAACACATTTTCTGCACATCCTGGGCAATACAGTCCATACTGCACACTTCTGGCAGCTTCTTAGAGCCATGTGAACCAACCTAGTTTCAAGGAAACTACACCATTAGAGACAGGGAAGGGACACCCCGAGCAGAGATCAGTGCCCAGGCTGCCAGCTGTGCAGCGTGGCATGTCGCTCCTGCCCTTCCCTCCAGGCAGAGAGCGTCACGGGATAGCTGTCCACAGTGAGGTCCAAAGACAGCGTGAATAATAAACACATTCTAAGGTCAGTTCAAACTCTTCCACACACAGGCCACGGAGAAGTTGTCCAACACCAATAAACAAAACCCAAACTCAGCCTCTCTATGATGTTCACGAAGCTAGGAGAACTGTTGTTTTTATCCACTGCACACAATATGTGCTTAACGAAAAATGTCCAATTTGACAGTCATCCTCTCCCCAACACAAGGATTGTAAGGGGCTTGTGACAGCCTCACAGTATGAACAGTGGTGTTCTCACAGCTTTATTATTTTCATGCATCTGGTAAGCATTTTTCTGTTTTGCTGTTTGGTTTTGGTTTTTCTGAAATGTTTTTCTGAAACAAAGCAAGTCCCAAAGATGAAGAGTGCAGTCACTGCTAGAACAAACAGGAATGGAAATTAAACTAATTTCTTGCAGAGGCCAACCTCCATTAGAAATGTACCAACAAGTCCTTTATAAAGTAGTTTAATTCTGATTGACTCAGTATATCAAAAATGTCTAATTGTGGAAGCTTAAAATTTATTAACTGCTGAGCTAAAGTTCCCACAACACTGGTTTCAGTATTTTGAGACAAGGTTTCACTATGCAGTTCAGGCTGGCCTTGAACTCACCTATGTAGCCCAGGCCAGCCTCAAACTCGCAGCAATCCTCCTGCCTAGCCTCCTAAGTGCTAGGGTTATGGACATGACACACCAAGTCTGGCAGTTTTAACATTTTTAAGCCAACTCTTTCACTGCCATCTCTGAGTTAAGAAAACTGCAGACTGGAATGTGATCATCTGTACACCTGGAAAGGTTCATCTTTTTTTGTCCCAGTTACACTCTAGCTCAGAGCTGGAAGCAATGTGTAGCGTGACAAAGAGGATACTGGATTTTATTTTGGAGAAACACAAATAGCAACTGTTTTTGATATAAGCTGCAGAAAGTAAAGCTCTCCAAAACCTTGACTGGCAGAGCAAGGGAGGGGTGATACTGGGGGTCCAGTTGTTTCCTCAGACAGATGCAGGGTGCAGGACAAGAGGGATTAGGTGACCATAGCAGGCCAGCAAGTAACCCCATGCTGAGGTCACCTCCACCTCTCTCAGGTGCTCCTTCGTGTAAACTGCCTGCCTGGCTCACAGCCAGCCTCCTCTGACCCACTGCTGTGCCGACCCCAGAGCCTTCCAGCCAGCCACAAGCATGATATGCAAGCTGGCAGTGGACACAGGGGCACCTGCTTGGGGAGATGTTATACTGCCTGTGATGTAAAGAACTCTGAGAGAGGCACGGTGTTTGCATATGATCTCACGTGCCACAAGGAGGTCAGAGCCCGGAGACACAGGAAAGGAGCAGAAGAGCTTAATGCACAGATGTGAAAAGGACAGGGTTCACACGCCCCACCAGAGGGACAAAACAGGCACTGTCGGAGGGACGGCAGGTCTCCGTGCTGTGCCATCACACATCACCTCCTGAAGGCCGCTCGCTTCTCTTGTACACTACGCTTACGCTGTTCTGCTCGCTCCTCCCCTGAGATCCAGCTGGCTCCCTGCCTATCTGTATGATCTCTTTCTTATAATAAATTAGAGCACTGTCATTCTTGAAAACATTTTACAATCTTCTTTCCAATCTGTTTGTTGGTTGTTTTCCATGGTGAAAAACTTTGTTTTGTTGTGTGGTGCTGGAGACACAGGCCAGGGCCTCATGAGTGCTAGGCAAGTGTGCTGCCTCCAAGCTATGTCCCTGACCCTCAGGCCAATTTTTCTCAGACTAGAGAAAGTTTTAAGAAGACACGATCAACCATCCTAATTCCATTTATTCAGTCTTTTTCCCGTAAGTTTTTTGACACTCCCTCAGTCCTGTATTTTATTATACTTTTAAAATGTCCATTTATACAATATCTGTTTCTTTGTCAATTATCTAGTTTTCTATCTTGGCTCTCATGTTATAGTTTATAATATTTAGTGACAAATTTCTCTAACACTTTTAGAATTTTCTTTGTACTTATTTCTGACACATTCTTCTATTTAAGTTTTGATCTGGTTTGACTAAGATATAAGTTTAACACCCTTGAAATTGTTTTCCTTAAACTCATGAATTAATTTTGAGGGACTGCTGAGATTAAACAATTTCGTGAATCTTCAACCACTAACTGATGGGTGGCAATAGCTAAAAGGAGTCTTGTCTAAGTTATAAGGTTTTTTCTTTTCATCACGTAAGCTCCCAAAGTTTCTTGTTGGTTTATTCCTTGGTATTTTGTGTCGCATTTGTGCTATGGTTGGGCTGTTTTTTTCCTGGATGATTTTCTAACCAATAAGACCGACAGAGAATGACCCATCCATGTGACGGGCAGCCCACACGGGTGCTGCCCCACGCCCGATTAAACAGTCTCTCAGGTCATTGTGTTTCCTGCCATTTTACAAAAGAAAAATTTCTCGAGGATGAATAATAACTCCTTTATCTGATCGTCAAATCTTTTATTTATGCTAAAAATTTCAAGAAGTCCTCTCCATTTCTGTTTCTCAAAGCTATTGACTACAATATTGTAATATTATTTCCCCCTGCAACATAATTCCAGTTTTAATTCTTTTATGTCGCATTTCATAGTCCAGAGTGTTCTGAGCAACAGTCAGTACCAAAGGCCTGTGAAGTCACAGTTCCAGCTCTTCCTGGCTACTGGAGTGACTCAGTCACTCGATCACAGGGCCATCGATACATGTTCATGACAACTGCCTTGCACAGTGGTTTTAAAAATTAGCCAGACATAGTGCATAGCATAAAATAAACGCTCAACTGACAGTAATTAAAAGTATGATTATGGGGGCCAAGGATTTAGTTCAGTGGCAATCATGAGATGATAAAAAAAATAATAAATAAAAACATGATTATAGAAAAGGTAAATGGCTTGCATGGTCCTTGAGTTTAACTCAGAGGAGCTGCAGGTTTAAGACAGACTTTTCTTTGGTTTTTCTTCTTTTTTTTTTCTTTTTCTTTTTCTTTTTGTTTGTTTGTTTGTTTGGGGGAGCACCTGGAGGAAATCACTGCGCCATGGGCACCTCGAGAGGGTACCTCAGGTCTCCACACAGTGAGTAGTGGCCAATGTCACACCTGGGAGCTGGGGTACAGGAAGCTGGGGTACAGGATGCAGAAGTACAGGAGTACAGGCAGATGGCCCATGGCTCAACCCCCAGTACCTGTTGTGTGTGTCTGGAGCAGGGGAGTAGATGAAACAGTATTACACCAAAATCAAATCAATGGCTGATGAATTTTCCACTACGGTATGTTCAAACATTAAGGATATTATGAAAAACTGGCAGCTATGGTGAAATTCAACCACAAATGCTATTAAGCTTATAGAGAACAGTAAAATTATTATAGTTAATTTTTTTAATCAGGAATCAAACTCACGACCCCAGGCTTGCAAGGCAGGCACTTATACCACTGAGCTAAATCCCCAGTCAAATTAAAATTTTTTTAAAAAAGAAGGCAGCCTTCCTCAGAGGACAGCTTGGCCCCACAAATCAAGATACACTATAGGGTTCACGCCTCACAAGAAGGTCTGAGGATGGTATGGGAAGAGAGAGAGAGAGAGTGTGTGTGTGTGTTACACACCAAGAAAAGGCCAGCAGGTAAAAGCATACTGTATTAAACTTAGCTCTTTCAAAAACGATAGATGGTTTATTTTCTCCCCAAAGTTCTTTTTTGAATATCCTACAGTTTTTCCCCAAGGGCCATGTGTTATTTTAATGTTAATTAGTGATGTGTTCATAGAACGACCACAAATAGAATAATAAATATTTCCAAGCTGTTTCCCATAGAAGACTCAGTAAAAAGCATATGTAGCTGGAGAGCCAAAAGTAATGAATGAAGAGACAGAGCCAAGGAAGGGAGACGCTTCTTAGTAACAGGAGTGTCCAACAGTGGAACACACTGGCTTCACAGGAGGGTAAAATTTTGTCTACACTAGGAGTGATACGAGTGCTATCACAGCTTGGGCATGAAAACCCCCAGGTCCCCACGTGCAGCAGGCCTGCTCCCCAAGGCACAGTGGCCAGAAGGGGCTTTGGGAAAATGACCACGTTATGATGGCTCCAACCTCATGGGATCACGTTAACCCACTGCTGGCTCACAACTGAATGGCCAGTAGGGAGACAGAGGTGGAAACAGGAGGCAGCCGCACAGGAGTTGTGGGTCACCAAGGACACTCCCTGGAAGGGAGAAAGTCATCCCTAGCCCTCTTCTTTCTCCGCACAAGGCCACTGCCATGATACTCACCTGGCCTTAGCCCAGGACCAAAGCATGGTGACCGCCGACCATGGACTAACCTCTGAAACCTCGAGCCCAAATAAACCTTTCCTGTTTTAAACTGTTTTCCTCAGGTATTCGGTCACAGCGATGCAGGGCTGACACAAGAGCCACCTGCGTCCCCAGCAGCTGCTGCCTCCTCACTGGGCTTTATGTCCACCCATTCAGAAGGCAGATGTGACACAGGCACTCCTCAGGGCCAGGTCACCCTATGCCCTGGCCATACAGCAAGGATGGTGCAGCAGGATCATACAGGGGTGTCACCCCTCAGGGTGCCTGGGCACAGCCAGGTAGCCCGGCAGACCCCACAGTACAAGGGACATCCTTAACACTGGGACTCAGTCACAGCCCAGACGGAGGTTTGCACAGCGCTCAGGAAATATCCATACTCAGCAGACCCTCTATCTATCTGTGGGTCACAGGCAAGCTACTGAACCTTGCTAGGTTTCAGATGCTTCATCTATAAATAAGGAAAACACAGTTCCATGAAAATGGAAGATCATTTATCCATGATGTTTAGCAAAAGTAATTTTTCCTTTCCTCCATTACTCTACAAAAAGTGTTTCTTTCCAAACAGACACTGTGCATGTTTGTGCATGTGTATGACATTTACATAACCCCTGTGCACGTAACAGCCCTGTGCCTTGGTTTTCTACTTATAAAATGGGGAAAGTAACAGTTCAGAACTTCCACAGTAATGAGGAGCAAAGTGATCAAAGGGTCAGCATGGGGTCCGGCACAGCGAACATGTATGTATGCGCAGCTGAAGACACACACACCCAAGATGCTAATGAAGCCTACTGCCACTTCCTTACCCCGAGGAATGGCGTCCCTTCTGAATTTGCTTTATGGCTGGTGCCATGGAGGAGTGTGGGAAGGAAACAGCTCACCCTGGCCCTTCCCGAAGTGCTTGCCTGGGGAATGCTGCACCCTGGGCTCCCTCTCTGTAGCTCAGGGGTTCAGCTGAGGTACACGAGACAGGGGGTCACAGGCTGTCTCAGCCCCGAAGGTGCAGCAGTGCTGAACTGAGTCTACTGCCTACTGCTTCACACATACATGTGCGCGTACATACACACACACACACACACACACACACACACTCTATACACCGCACATTCTGACTCACCTGGAGCACAGACCCAGAGCTTTCCTTTGCATGTGCACCCAGTGCTGCCCTGCTTCTTCTCTGTCACAGGGCCCTGACACTTACTCAAGGCCGCTGTCACTCGAGGGCCACAGAGAGGCTGGCAGTCATCCTCTGCCGTCCCAGTCTTTCTGCTTGAAGCCTCCGTCCTGTTTTGCAGGTGCCCTGCCTCTGGCCTCCACCCCCTCAGTTGCTTCAGCCCCACGGCTGCTGTGGCTCCACTCATGGACCCCAGGCAGCTGGCTCAGCCTCCTCTCTCCCACAGGCTCAGGGCATCTATGGCACCTCCAAGGATGACCCCAGCCCTACTCCAAATACCACTGTTACCACCTGAAGCCTTCCCGGTTTGGCCTTGCTGCTGGCCTGCCCTACCCTCATAGCTACCCTCACAGGTAGCTCCAAGTCATTTTGTTTGGTTGGTTTTTGTTTATTTTTATTTTGGGAGGTTCCAGGGCTCGAACTCACAACCTCACACCTGCCATGCAGGCACCGTGCCACTGAGCTGTATCCCCAGTCCTGCCAAGTCCTCTTGTGTGCGCCTTGTCTCTCACAGTGCAGAGCTACCTGTCCCGTCACCCAGTGCCTACCCACCCCTCCTGCCCACTCCCCCACCACAGGTTCCACAACACTGCCCCACCAGTCTCGAACACACCACACCTCCCACCTCAGGGCCTTCGCACATGCTCTGTCCTCCAGCAAGAAAACTCTCTCCCCTCTCTTCACCCAGCTCACTCTTCACCTGCTGGGATTCAACTCCAATATCAATATCACTTTCAGAACACCTGTTTTCAAGCCCAGGCCGGCCTAGGCCCTGGGGCCCATTTGTACCATACCTGTGCTTCTGAGGAGACATATCAGTCACGATGTCCAGGTGAGAGGCGGCAGGACAAAAATGGTTGAACCAATGAAGAGGAAGGAGGTGACATCACCGCCTCGAATAACAGTGTGTCAGCATCAGGGCCCAAAAAGGGAAAGCTCTAAAAAGCCCTGGTCACCTGATCCTCCTCCACTGCGCAGGGCAGAAGGTGTCTTGAGCAGGAAGGAGGATGGGGGCGCCACCGCCTGTGTGTCCCTCCCCGGTGCCCAAGCAAGTGCCCACCTTTCTCCTCCCTGAATCCCAAGGGCCAGGGCGCACAAGAGCCTGCTTGCAGTCCTCACCTCACAACCATCTGACTCAGTTTCTTCATCTGCTCTCCAAGTTAGAAATGCAGCTGGCAGGACACCCTCCCTTCTGAGAAGGCTGCCACAGGATGTGTGTGGGCCCTGTCTGCACACCAGCGGCATCTGTGGAGCTCCTATTTGGAATCAGGGGCTGTGCTAAAGCTACATGGTTAGAGACAAGATGGGGCATGGTGCAGATGTGTGGCTGGGTGGCTTCCCACTGAGCACCTGTTGGAGAGACTGGAGATGACTGGAAGACCCAAGCAGGCTTCCTGGAGGAAGCCACATCAGTGTTAACCTGTGATAGACATCAAGGATGCCAGGGCGAGTGAGAACAGAATACAACATGCTCTTCTCAAAATGCATTCCTTCAACTGCTCCCGACTTTCTGAGCAAACTCACTCAGGAGACTTCTTGCTTATGTCCTGTCCTGGAGCTTTCAGGCCCTTTACCCCAGCTGTAAGCCCCACTCCAAATGCATCCACTGTAAATGGCACTCTGCTTGGGTTCCTGGCCACAGCCAGTGGCAAGTGCACAAACAAAAATATCTGTATCCACAGCAGCCGGACCGCAATGCCACTACCCTCCCCACCCCAAGCTGCACTTCCCGCTGTTCAGTGAAGGCTGCCCTCCCTTCCACAGAGTGGTGCTGGGGTTTCAAGTTCATTCTAAAACGCAAACTGAAGATTTTGCAAGATTCACCATGATACAGTAAACATATCCGGCTTCAGAAGCAGCATCCAGCTAAAGATGATTTCACATTTCAAATGCAGGCATATTGTACAGAATTCCTATATCAAGACATAGACACACACACAAAAAAAACCCGGAAAATGGCGAAACTTGAAAGCAGTAAGATGACAAGAAGAGGAGGACATGAAAAAAAGACATCTTGTGCCTCCCACTCTTCCATGTGAATTCAAACCAAGAAAAATATTTCTTGATCTTCATATCTTGAGCTTCACATTGAGAAAAACTAATGACATGCAAACTTTCACAATACAACCACATATGACAGTGTAATGATTATTCAGATAAATAGAAGGCAAAAGCTCTCTCTATGGGTAGGAGAGGGGGAGAGGCGGCTAACCAGAGAAAAGCAGTCTCCCAAACATCCGGCTCTCTTAGAACAATTCTCTTCCCAGAAAGCACATCAAATAACACAGCCCTACCTTTTCAGAGGGATTAAACAAAGATCCTTCTTCCTTGTGACCAACACCTTCTCAGCAGAATCTGCTCTCCGAGTAGAAGAAATGTCAGGAACCTCTGGGAGGAAATGTAGCTGCATTTGTATTCTGCTCAGAAAATGTCATCACAGATCTGTTTACCTTAACTGTGGACCATGATTCAGCCGTGACAACTGTCTTGCATACTGATCAATTTATTTGCAGCAAAATTTCCAGCATTAACTGCTTAGGTTCTGAAAAACCCGTTCCTTGGATTTCCTGTGCAACCATAACAAACACATACTTGAAATATCTAGATTCTTACCAAAAGGTTTCCGTGCGAGACCAGGGATGATTTTTCTTGACATGTACACAGGGACAGTCCCTTTCACTTCTGGATGGGAGGTAGGACAAGCAGCTCCCAAAGACTGTCGTAGAGGTGGGAGTTTCACAGCAAGATGTACAGAGCAACTGTTTGGCTGGGCATCTGGGACTCTGGGCCCAGGTCCTGGCCAGGCTGTAACCAGCTGTGTGAGCCTCTCCATGACGCCCCACCCCACAGGAGGCTGGGCCCAGGGATCTACAGTAGGGTTAAAGGCAGCAGAAATGGGAAGGGGTGGTCACTGAGTCCAGGAAAGGAGGCAGTACCTCCTCCACAGCTGTCTCTCTGAGGGCTGTCCAGAGCCCCTCCAAGCAGGCAGGTGCCTCTAGCACTAGGGTCAGGCCTGTCCCAAAGTGCCCAGAGGAGAGAGACCCCTGCCTCAGTCAATGATGGGACGCATGGGTTCTGGCCCCTGTGCATATAAGTGTCTAGGCACACCAACTCCTTTGCTGCCGTGCTGGCGGAGGCCTGGCACCTCTGTGAGGTCATTATGAAAAGGGGAAGCCACACAGACCCAGCAAAGAGAGGAAAGCAGTGACTCATGGGGAGGGGAAGTGGAGGCTGCTGTCCAAGGTACCATGGTCTATGTGGCCCAATTTGGCAGAGGCCATGCAGGAACCAGAGTCTGATCACGATGTCACATCTACTCACGTGCCGTCTCAAACTTGAGCCTGACATCCACTGGCCACCAGAGTGCAGTGGGGGCCATTGGCCACAAAGAACACGAGATGCAATGCCCAGCCTGGAATCCTGGTGTTCCGAGGTGGGGCTGCCTCCAAGAAAGGTCAGAGACAGTCCGGCCTTTGTGGCCTTCCAAGGCCTGATCCAGGGAACCAGGAGCCTAGCAAAGCAGGGGAGCCCCCGGCAGAAAGCATATGTGCCCTGCTGGCCAGAGGCCCTGTGAAGAGCTTAAAGACTGTGTGAAGGAGGATCTGATTCTCCACATCGGCAAACAGAAGGACCATGAGGTCAAGGAGGTAGACCAGCACTACTCAGAGGTGAACCTGCTCGTGGAGCAGAGGCTGAGAGCCTGCAGAAGGAGTAAGCCATCTCCTAGCACCTGAGGGGCCTCCTGTGCACAAAAGGGAGCCCAGTTTTCCATTACCACAGAGACTTCCACACAGTGGCTAAGGACATAAAGGGAAGGGAAAAAGAAACAATCCAGATGCAAGGTGATGGCTAGAGACAGTGTGAATTGAGCAGGAACCAAACAAATGAATGTGTCTGACAAAGCTAATAACTGATGGAATGACCAAACAGGTAAAAAGCATTTGCCTGTTAAATATGATGTCACCATTGTACATGAAAATGCTAAGGGTGAATTAATAGAGCAGGATGCAAATTCTTGCCCAAACATATCTGTCAGGGATCCATCAAATTCAGCTTCAACTACCCTATCTGCTCAAAACCTATGGTTTGGCATTAGTTTTTAGAAGTCCTCAGCTTCTGAAAGGACACAGTCAAATACCTATTTCAAGATCATTTCTGGTACCCCTGAGCTTTGCCCATGACTCATGATCATAGGATACACAGGTCACCCTGACATCATGCCATGCCACGTGTATGGATGTGTGGTATGCTTCCATTCGCTCAATCAGACAGGTCATAAATATAAAAGCATCGTTGCAGGAATGCAATGTGTGATGATCCAGGAGCATATGGTAAAAACTATTAATCATATGCACAAAAATTTATGTGCAAAAGCAGTTATTAAGAACTTCAACAAATGGTCAGATGTAAAAGGAAATGGGGAAATAAAACAAATATTGAGAAAGAAGGCATTGACTTAGTAGCTTTGCAAAGACCGTTAGATCCTTTCTAAACCAAGACACGAATAGAGCCAATAATAATAAAGGAAGCAGAATAAAGAGACTTTCAGAGAGTACCATACGTTCTAACTGTAGAATTGTTTGGTACTGGCCTTCATAACAATAAACAACCCTCAGATTTAAAACTTTTTGCTTCTATTTAGATCATGTATCTTTCAAAAAGGTATTATTGGGATTTTCATACCTTTACAAAAATGAATTACCAGCCAATTGTGTCAGGTTTGTTGCCTCAAAAATAAGCTGCAAAACCTCCCAAATCATACTACAACATCAATCATAAATCACTGTCAACTCAGACAGCTAAGAAGACAAAGACAGCAGAAAAAAAAAAAAAAGAAAGCCTTGGGAAGGGGCTGCCCCCATTGTTATCTTGTTCTCCACCAAGGTCAACTGCAAATGAGCGTTGTTTGTGTCACACATTGTCACATGTGGAACACAGGAGCATCGGGCAAGGACAGTGCCCAGATATGGCCAATAAGATATCAGCAACACCTCTTTTTGTTAAAATGTTAGATTTGCTAGGGGCTGGGGATTTAGCTCAGCAGCATAAGCGCCTGCCTTGCAAGCAGGCAGTCGTGAGTTCGATCCCTGGTACCGATAAAAAGGAAAAAGACCAAAAAAAAAAAAAAGTTAGATTTGCTTTCAATGGTGATAATACTTGGCTTCAGTCTAAATCATAGCTAAATGCTGACTTCAATGCTCCACCATTAACATTCAGTCAAACTGGATTAATTCTGACATGTGTTCACACAGAAGATCGTGTGTGTGTGAGTGCATGTATGTCTGGTGGTAAATATATAACAAATGGAACAATGCCAGTATCTGAACATAAAGGCCACGTGTGATTTTTATTTTCTATTATTTTCAGTTATCTCTAAGATTTTAGGATTGGAATACGATGCTGTCCATGGATGTGGGGTCAGTGTAGATGATGTAGATAAAGAAGCAGCCTGAATCGCAGCCTGGGGAAGATGTTCAGTGCTGGGAGTGTGGGGCCAGAGCTGAGCAGAAAGCAGCAGTGAAAAGCAGGGTGGCCCGCAGGACTGAGGACACTCAAGCAGAAGAAGCAGTGCTGGGAACGGCAGCAGGACCGGAAGATGAAGTGGCCGCGGAGTTCCAAAGACTCTAACCGCATTCAGTGATAGGACCGCAGTGGCCACGCATGGTAAACAAGCTAGAATACTCCAGAAGCACCAAGTATGGGAGGAGGAGGTCAGATAAGAAGGGAACAAGTGGGCCCAGGGATTTAGCTCAGTAGCACAAGCCTGGCAAGTACAAGGTTGTGAGTTCAATTCCCAGTATTAAAAAAAAAGAAAAAGAAGAAGGGAACAAGAGACAAGAGAGATGGAGAGGGTAAGACCCAGCAAAGCCTGGAGATTAGTTATTGAAGTGGGGGACACGCTGCCAGAACAGAAGGCAGAGTGAGGGACTGCAGCAGCCAGAGAACACGGGGTTCCTCTGGGAGCAACACTGGCCATCTCAGCCACCTCGTGACTTTGTGATGCCACTGGGCAGTGGGCACTAACACCTCACCTCCCACCCCAGCACACACCAGGCCCTGGGTACTGAGGAAAGATGGTGCCATCAGCTCTAGGAGAAAGGTCCAGCAATCAGGACTGCCAGGACACATGGCCAGGTGAAAAGTGCCGGGCAGGGTAATCACAGATACTGTGACCCTCTCAATTATTATTCAAGAAAGAGCACCTTTGCAAAACAGTGGAATGAATACTAAACCAGAGAGCATGCAGACATTAACATCCTAGGCACATATGGAAACTGCCCGGGCAACTGGGGCAAAGGTCCACTCTCCACACGGACTGCTGGCCCTAACAAAGAAAGCAGCTATCTTCTCTCCTGGTGGCAGGCCTGGAAAATTGCGAAGCACGCACAGTCCCACCAGGGCATGAGGCGATTAGCAGCCTGGGGATATCTGGCTAATTCAGACCCCCCAAACCATGCATCCCAGAGCTCTTCCACATTTCACTCAGACTGTAAAGAGGTGACTGTGAGAGGATACGTGGTTATAACCTGTGCATGTGTCCCCCAGTGAGATAAGCTCCCGAGGGCCCTGGGCAATGTCTGTCCCTTTTTCTGGTAGAGTCCTCATACTTTTCAATAATGTCCAGTTTCCCTTGTTGCCATGCTTGGGTTTAAGGGGGTCACATAGAAGGGGGTTCTTGGAACCCTTATACCCCAGCAGTGTATCACCCAGTCGCACCCTGCAACCTCCAAGGACAAAGTCTCTATCCACAAGTTAGCTGTCTCCCCAACCCATGCCCCGCTCCAAACGTTCATCCAGGAGCTGGAAGTGAAGGGTTGACATAGGAGGAGGAGCGACTTGGGCTAGGGAAGGAGGCTTCGTGTGCAGGCAGCTGAGGACATCGTTCACATCATGTGCCCAAGGCACAGTGTCGTACTTGGGACACACCAGCCTGAACACAGCTGTTCCACTGAGTCAATGGACGGAAGAATTGCACTGTGAGACCAGGAGCTGCTCAAAGAGGAGACAGCTGCTCTTGGAGCCCAGGGAATTTGGACAGTAAGAGCCAAAAAGTAGAGAAAATAGTGTTTTACACTGCTGACTTCCATGTTTCAGGACTCAAAAAAAGCCCAGGGAAAGAGGCACCAGCAGGCAGCAATAGAGAGTCCATGGCAGAGTCAGGATAGACAGGCCAAGCAAGGGGCAGGATGGGGCTCCCTGGAAGCTGGGCTTTGGGGTGACTTAGGAGGGCAAACAATCCAGAGAAGTGGGTCTTCACCTGAGGGAAGAATCTAGAGCTGCCTCAGGAGCAGGACCTGAAGACAGCAGGAGAAAGTGGCTGTGGACAGCCCTTTCTTCCATCCACTCCACCAGAGCCTCAGAAAGTTCATGGAAACCTCACCTGCCTTAAATCTACGCTCCCGGATCTATCCACTCCTACCTAGACTCCTATAGCAGACAACAGACGGCCCCCTCCTCCTCTGGTCCTTCTCTTTGCTCCTCCTGGCCCAGCCTCTCTCCTCCCAAGCCTCTCTGCAGCTTTTTCTGCATTCCTGCTTTCTGTTCCTGCAGCTTTGCACTCTGCACACTTCTGATTCCTACTGAAGCACAGCCTTCCCTGGTGCCCAACACAAAGGAACACACACACACACACACACACACACACACACACACACACACACAGTTCACATACACCTCACACGAACTCTCTTCCCCAGTTGTTCCTCTAGCCTTTGTCAGGCGCAGCTTTGTGCTACTCTTAGACTCTGCTTGAAGGCCAATGTAATATGGAACACTCAGCATAAGAACCTGC